TCAACTGATCTTGATGAAATTTGGCACAGTAGTAGAACGTCCGGAGGAAGAAATAGGCTACTTATTACTTTTTTTTTATTCCGCTCGGATGGAGTCGCAGGCGATAGCGAGTCAATTAATAAAGCAATGATACATAGCTAGCAAATTCGTGAAAATTAGTAAAAATTTTTTTTTTGCTTCAATTGTTCATAGAGGTTTTTTATACTTTATGTTAGTATATTATAGTAATTATTATTATTTATTGTTCTTTTTATTTGTTAACTTAAGTATTTTAAATGGTCTCTAAATTTTTATTTACTTTAACTTTAAACCATCCAGCATGAAGCGGCCTAAAGTAGAAAGCTAATTGACAACTGCTATACGGAAGTCCACTTCCGTTGTGAAACCTCTTTGATCCTGCTCTCCGGATAGTTTGCCGGTATTTGCGGATACTATTCGAATCACTGGGAGATTTCATTGCCAAAATATTTGTACAAAAAATGATTGTCTATGCTTTTTCCAAGGACAAAAAGATTGATGACTATTTGTAAAACAGATATTCCTTAGGGATTACGGTTCCATACGACAATAACACTGTCGAAATTTTAGTTTACTTGTCCTTATAATTGTAATAAAGAATAAAGACATTGGACATTTTAGTCACATTTTTTACATCTCGAATACGATAATTAAAGCTTCAAAAATTATATTTCACTTATTTGTAAACTATGTATAAGTCAATGTAACATAATATAAATTTATATAAATGGTTCAGGAAACGCCTCGTAAGCTCGCTGTTTTAGAGTTGGAATCTTATTCGTACTAGTAAACATTTCTCTGGAAAAGGTTAAAGTTTTATTTTAATGTATTCTAAAAGTCTAACGCTTATCCGAGTTCTACGATGCGATTTGTTATAACGTTCTGTTCACATTTGAAATGTCTGAATTTTTGTTAACTAACGTTTAGAAATTTGTAAAAAAGATATATTACCAGTTATATCTTACTAATATTATAAATACGAATGTTTAGATGGATGGATATATGTTTAATTGAACATATCTCCCGAACGGCTCAATAGATCTCGCTCGAAATTTGGCAAAGATGTAGAACATAGGAAGAACTCATAGACTACTTATTAAGTTTGTCTTTAATTCCGCGCGGACGGAGACGCGGGCGACGGCTAGTATCGAATATAGATGTGATAACAATTCAAATAGTCATTATTTATTTCTAGCTATGTGACGATTTCGCTTTGGTAAATACATAAAAACCAGTTTAAGTAATTTACTGATAATGGCTTTCTATTACTGAAATAATTTACGTATACAGTTCGTTATTTTATTATCCCTTAGTAAATGATATCGCGACTTACTTCCATAAAATGTTTAAAAGTAATAAATGAAACGTAATTTCTTCGTTCTTATCTCGAAACAAAATGTAAGTTTGGAACAATCGATCGATTTTATAGCTCTAACAAAACTCGTAACCGTTCCCAAAACCAGTTGAAATTTTGGCGAATGAATAGAATAGTATTCTCTATATAATTCAAAGGCAGACAATTTGCTAAATTACACTACGAACAGTTTACCCATATCGAGCCTACAATACGATATGGAGGCCTCGCTAAACCCTTCTCAAGAAATGTATTATTGGATAATCCGAGTAACTATTAAATGGATTTTAACTTGGGATTTCCGACGCTTACATTTTACAACAGCTATCGCTACTTACTTTAATAACATTAACATAGAAATTGGAAGTTATATCTTTTTCTCGCTTAATTTCTACTTAGCATTAACAGTATAGTCTGCTTTAATTAAATTCCAGACGACCTTTAAAACGTATTATCGTAAATATAATAACTGCAGTCTCCAACAATATTAAACGTTAAAAAAATAAAAAATAAAATTAACTACAAAGAAACTTTTACTAAGATTTTTCCTTATGAAATTTAATAACAAACAAAGCAGTAAAAGTCTATAAAAGATGATGCAGATGTACATATCAACCAGAATTTATAAAACCAAATTTAGCGAAGAATCTAGTTTATTCTCGTAGCATCAAGAGTGATTTTATGTCCTAGGTTTTAAATCAAGAATGCAATAACGTTTATACACATAGCTATAGAAATCTTATAAATTAAGACGCGAGATTGAGGTATTGAGAGGTAACTACCTAGAGGATGTTTTCGATCAATTTTAAAGCTTTAGATAATGGAGATTTTCTATTTCTTTAATACAACAATACGAAGGAAGAATCTCTTTCATATTGATCCTAATTTAAAAACAATCTTGATTGGAGAAGCCATCCGTGAAGATAAGCTGGGCTTGTTTCATTTCCCTGAAAGCCTTACGAACGCTTTAAGCGTAAAAAAAGATGCGAAACGGATAGCAGATGTTTTGTGAATAAACTTGTACGATTTCAGATAAAAAGTTATATTTTTCTATCATGTACTACGGATATTTCTCAGTTGATACGAGTCTATAAGTCCTCGATTTTCATTGCGTTAGGAAGACTTGTATCGGTGTTTGTCACTAATGAACTTATGGTTACTTATTAATGAACAGAGGACCGCGAAAACATATAATATGTAAAATTACTCGTCAAAATTTATACCGCGTGAGTTATGTTGTATTTTTTATGCGGTGTACTAATCTAAGATTACACTTAGTAACTTAACGCTTAACCTGAAACGATAAATCTGATTTAAGCTCAAATGAAATGGAAAACAATCAATCAGTAGCCTACGTGATTTTACTGACTATGTTCTTTATCTATACCAAATTTCATCCAGATCCGTTGAACCGTTCTGCAGATACTTTCTAACAACTATCCATCCATACATCTAAATTTTTGCATTTATAATATTAGTAAGAAACCCATTTAATTAGCACTTAAGCAATTTGCATTAAATATAAGAAGTGATAAAGCGTCATTCGGTTGCCACTCATAGCGTTCAGTCGAGCTTATGTCTGTCGGAGGGTTGTCACGGTGCAAATCACGGCGAAGCAGATGCCTCTATAAAGCTTGTCGCTATTTGTATACACTTGTCCTAGTTTTCAATTTAAAAATGTAAATTAAAATGTTAATATAATAACTTAAACAGTTTCGATCTTCTTCTTTTCTACTATTATTTATATATAGTTACCACTTTTTCAAACATAAATATTCTACACTGTTTCTATACAGAGTACGAAACTCTACCTACCAATAAAATGTATAATATTACGATTTGATACGATTAAGTCACCATTGTTTTTAAAGTATTAAATATTCTAATCGAAAGCAACTCACCAAAAACAACCATTTGCTTGGTCCTCGAGTCTTCCTCCATGAAAGTGGATACGACACAAGTGTAATCACCAGAAATGTCTGTGTTCGGTTTCACTATGCGGAGTGCTCTGTGCATTTTTAATGGATCGTTCGATGCTCTGTACGTTAAATCGACTCGACCCCTCAATATACCCATATCCTGCGGCTTCTGTGACACAATCCATTGGTACACCGGCCTAGCTTTGTTCCTAAAGAACCACTTCACCACTAGCCCAGACGTGTCGTTTCCGTACGTGTAATCACAGTCTAAGATCACGGCGTCTTGTACACCGTACTGTATAATTTCTGGCACTACTAATTTCACTATCTTCACTGCGTTTAATTCTGAAACAAAAGAAAGAGTCGGTTTCATATAAAGATATAATATTATAAGAGGTAAGATTTGATTGTTTGTTTTTAATTTATAGGCTCCGAAACTACTGAACCGATTTGAAAAACTCTTTCACTGTTTGGTAGCTACACTATTCAGGGGTAACATAGGCTATATGTATATATCAGATATTTTTTAATACCATACGAACAACTTCCAACTACGAGTTTCATTATAATATCAAATATTTGATAAAACTCGGAGAGATTTACTATCTACTTCATATACTTGAACCCATTTAAGGAAAATGTTGAACTACGACTTATTAAGTTCTAAATAGCTATCCAAATTTATCACCATTCTTAGATATAATAAATTTATATTTATTATATTTTATAATCTCTCTTTTAATAACGACTACAATTTTAATTTACCCAGAGTTCTATAGTAATTTGAAAGCAAAAATAAATGATATTGTCTTTGAAAGTTGAAACATTTTCTCTTTGTTACTGAAGTGGGCGGAGATGTGAAAAAAGTGTGATTAATTTAGGGAAAAAAGGTACTTTTTAATGTAAACAACAACAGTCCGCTTTGACTGACAGCGCCTTAATGGAAGCGTCAATAATGATCGGAAAATCTAACATTAACGATAAACGAAGAACGGAAAACACTTTCTCATATAAACAATTAATATTCATGGACAGTGGCATAGTTATTGTCAGCGTAGATGTAATTTATTAGTTACAACTGTTCTTTTTTTATATATATCATAAGGTGGCAAACGAGCGAGCGGCCACCTGAAATCGCTGAAATAGCGAAGTCACCGTTGCCCATAGACATACGCAATTGCATATTCGTTGCCTACCTTACCTTACTGAACGTAATACTAATCAAAACAGTGGAGTTGTAGTCTACGTAAGTGATGTCTGGAACCTGTCAACTACAGAGCCAACCATTGATGATGCTAATTGTCTGGCTGTTAATATACAAAATATAGCCACCATATTCGCCATTTATCGCTCACCGTCATGTCATAACATAGATAATTTTTTATCTTCCATTGAAAGTTTTGTAAAAAATAGTAACGGTGTACCTTTGATCCTGGCTGGCGACTTAAACATAAATATATTGGATACATCCAGCTCTAGAGTCTTAGAATACCAATGCTTCCTAGCGGAGCACGGATTTGTTCCGGCCATTACAAAACCCACCAGAGGGCCGTCGTGTCTAGACCACATATATTTCACTGACTTTCATCGTAACCTGACCCCAGTAGGTATTGTCTGCCAATCTGATCTTACTGACCACTTCCCCGTTATGGTTGGGATGAGCTTTAACAAATATCACCATAGACGACCAATCCGTACCGTGCTTAAAAGAGACTTTACTGGCATAAGGAAAGACCTTTTAGAGAGAGACTGGAGTGATGTCACTACTAACACTAACGTAAATGAAGTTGTTAAATCTTTTTCGGATGTTTTAGTTGGTACGTTAAAAAGGCATACACGCGAAGTCCACCTGAGTAGAACGCAATATAACCTCAAGCCCTGGATCACTCCAGGACTTATGCGCTGCATGAGGCATCGAGACCGTCTTCATCAGCGTGCAAAGCTAGATCCGGATAATATGATACTGCAAATCTCTTTTAAAAGGTACCACAATTTTTTGGTCAGTCTATTGCGTAAAATACGATTACAACATGAAAGAAATGAAATTAATGAAAACAAACATAACCCGAAGAAGCTATGGCGGTCAATCAAAACGTTATGCGGCATCACTGACAAGAGGTTCGAGCCCACTGAATTGTTAGCAGAAAACACTTATACCACCCAGACGCGCCTCGACCTTTACAATGATTACTTCTCCACCCTTGGTCAACGTCTAGCA